TTTTTAGGATGTTATTGGGTTTAACTTTAATTTGGGAAGTTGGGGAAGTAGGAAAATAAGATTAGAGGGATTGATATGTTAGGGTTTATAAATCTCAAATATAATTAATTCATAAATTAATTCAAAATCAAAGAGAGAATAACTTTATAAGAGATTAAAATTATTTTCTTAATTGAAATAATATGATATAAATAATACATGATATATTACAAAAAAAAAGAGGGAATTACATAAGGAAATGCACCAAAACAAGCCATAAAAATCCTTCCAAGGTATATATTTGTTAGCCCCTTGTGATTTCTTCTATTTAGACAACATTATCACTCCAATTTAAAATATTTAATCAAATCTTTGATTATTTTTACTGAATACTTGAATTAGTTTGATTAATATAGTTTCAAATATATCTTTATAATCAAAACATCTCCTTCAAATACAGTTCTGATCTATTTTCATATCTAATGCCCAAATTTTGATATTTACACTTTGAACAACTTAGTGTCATAAATCTTAAACCAGCTCAGTTTGAATTCAGATCCCCTAATAAGGCCTTCGGTGTGTCAAACACAAATTTTGATCAGAAGATCTGAATTCCGTGCGCACAAACAAGACACTCAAAAAATTCATAGATCAGCATTTAAACCCTACATCAAGAGAAATGTGGGAGTACGTAAGACGTACGCAAAGTTGCATATATATTAGGTTATTATGATGATACATGTATGTTACACTTAGGTTATACCCCTTGTAATTCTTCATATAACCCAAGTGTAACCTACATGTACCCTCCGAATAACCTAATATGTACGCAACTTTGCGTACATCTTACATACGCAAATATTTCTCCTAGATCAGAAGATCCAATAATAAGAGGAAGAAGAAAAATAAATGAAAATGTGTAACAAAAAAAAACCCAAAAATTGTTGATTTCCTACTGGCCTTGATCCATAGGTCTACTACAATGCATCAAAAATTTAGATATCTTGTAACTGAGATTGGTTCGTACAGAGCCTGATTCTCCATAGCTCAAGATCTCTACCCCGTTCATACTCCCTTATATACTGAGGTATCTTCCATGTGTCAATTTGTTTTCCCATGAAGCAGGGGAATGACACCTCTTCAGGTAACATACATTCTGCAATATGATAAAATGCTACTAAATAGATAATGCAACACACAAAAAATTAGAAAAGGAAAAGGAATAATTTCATGGGCAACACTAAAATATTATATATTCATAGAAATAACACTCAAATGCTTCTATTTACCGACTTTCATTCTATAACTAATTACGTTCTATGGATATTTTTTGCATAATGGGGAAATATATGAACTTAAAACTTCATTTTTAGTACCTAAATACTCGGTAACTCGAGCATGACGTATTAACTCACCAAAGGGATCCAAAAATTGATTCAAATCAGATTCTACAGAATTGACAGTTCGATGGCACTTGTCTGTTCACCCAAGACAATCGCAGCTCGTAGCTCGGTCAGAGGAAACTAAGAGCTCACTAGATAACTAACTCGAACGCAACTAGCACGATATCATGTACTAGAATGTACCTTTTTAGTATTAAATTATTTCCAATCATGTACTATAATAAATGACACCCAAACTCTATAAATAGGAGGTCAAAAGTTATAATGCACATAACACACACGCACACACACACTCTCTAGTCTAGGTGGTATGCCTACACGAACAAATCCGGATCCAATAATTCTAAATTTTTGGAACAATAGTATTGTAAATAGGAAAAATTACATGCTAAAGCATTTCTTCACCTTCATCTTCAAGGAAACTCCGGAATTTTGCATACCCATTAGCAACAACATCGAGGTCATCAAGAGAGAAGTTGTATCTTTTCTCTAATGCCAAGTATAGAACCTAAATTTAAAAACAAAAACATGGATATAAGCTCATACTATAGGTAAAGCAGGTTGTGTATTTATGCAGTTATTTTTATTCACCTTTTTAGAACCTCGAGACATCAGCTTCTCCAAAATGTTGAAAAGAGACGAGGTAAGTTCATCGCTGTATATTACATCAGCAGCTAGAATAAGTGTTGCTCTCTCAACTTCGGCAACTTCTGATGAAGTCCAGGAGTACTTTGGCCTAAATCAGATGGGTTAGTACTTAAAAGTAACACATCAGCTTTATAATCTTCATTATGAATTGATCGAATGAGAAGTTGAACTTATTTTATAAAAATCATTTTGTGCAGCTTCTATCTATATTATAATTTTACGCTTTTTACTTGACAGTCGTTCGAAAGTAATTTTATCGAATCTCATGTGTGCATTTTCTGCCTTTAATTGTACATATCAATGCCACTCATGTTTATTTTTCACAATCCTAACTTCAATAACACTCTCCCGCCTACCTACTGATGCAATTATTTCTCAATCTAATCTTGCCAGTTTTGCTATAAATCTTTTGAAAAACTTTATTTCAATTATGTTCAGCTTAGATATTAGTGACTTTTACTGCCCAACGCTTAAATTCTTACCAAATAGCCAACATAATGACAAATTTAATAAAATCTAAATTTAAATCTGCATAATATTCTTTTATCATATAATACTTCAAAAGCATTTCACTATTATTACCATTCAATAATAAATACCTTCCACTTTATAGTCTCATTCATATATATCATGTTTTTAACTATTTAAAACTATCATAACAATGCATAACATAACAATTCTTTTTCGTATATATCGTTATTATACGTTACTATTTTTTTACATATGTTTTAAATTTGTTACATGTTTCAAGCATGTCATAACTACACATTACATCTTTCCTTCACTAAGCTGGCACTTGTTAGGTATGTATTGAGAACCATTTTTTACAAAAGAATGTGCCTTAGTATTGAATGAATAAGTTAAAGAACCCCCACCCCCCCCCTTCCCCTCCCTCTCTTTTTAAGTTGTGTGCCAATTCTCATAAAAATTTAGAAACTTCATCTGAATCATTTTGTTGTATCCCCTTAACATCAATTGGTATCAAAATGAATCGATCCATTGAGATTGCAACATGAGAGAGAAGAAGTTTTTTTTTTTTTTTAACCCATCTCATATTTACTTAAACTGATTGCAATGAAGTTTTTCTCTACATGACGACTCTCACCCTCTCACCAATTTTGTTCATGTCATAACAAGAGGTTCTTGATTAATTTTAATTCCCATAACAATTTTTTTTTTCCTAACAATCATCATTCCATGAAAATATGACAAAAATAAATTCAAACCCTAAAACTCACCTTCCTAACCCTAATGCATCCATTGCATTCCTCCTTGACAAAAAAAAATTTTCCCTCACTGAAAAGTGATTCTTTCTTAAAATATCTCTACTAAAGTCTCCCACATTCAAAATTTTAACCATATTTCTTATCTCTCGCTAAATAAGAAAGAAATCATGGATCAACCCTTAACTGGCTACCTCTCCCACATTCTTTCCAAAATTAGCTCTTGCATACTTCTCCATTCGACTTATAACAAAACCTTGTAGAAAATCCTCATACTAGATCAATCCACTCACACATGCCTTGGTCAAAAATTACCTCACTCTATTTAAAGACATTAAAATAATCTCCTTCCTCTTATTTCCTCTCTTTCACCACCCACGTACATCTCACATAATTTGTAAATGTTGTCTTCCATTCAAGATCTAGACATCCCAATATGGATCTACATTATCATGATGATCATTACCAATGTGATTGAAATCATAAGCTTTAGTAGCATAAATATCATTTTTCCCATCATAATATTTATGATTCCTAGTCTTAATATATATATATATATATATATATTTAAAAAACCTAAGGGCAATTATATTAAAGAGAAAAGGGTAGTATGAGTGGGCCCAAAAGTAGTCACCCAACCCACACGGCACAACACATACAAAAAAATTCAAAAAAGAGAGGATACATATAAAATCAATCGGGACGACCCAATTTAGTTTTGCCTCTGCCTCTAGTTCTCGGAAGTGAACCATCCAACAAATTGGTGAGGTGTGTACCATTACCCGAAGTAACCAAAGTATTATCCATTAGATTACTAAACTCAAGTAGATCTCCATTCATCTTCTTCCTCCTGGAAGTGTAAACCTGTCATTCCTCATTCGAAGATTGTTGCTCATTCGGATGAGGTGGTAGAGTTGTAGTAGAAAGATTGTCAACCGTTGTACCCACAATAAGTTCTAGTGTATGTGAAGTATGAGTTGTCGTCTCTACACTGGATACTTCCTGAAGATGGGGAGCTACAAGGATCTCCTGATTATCAGTCCGAACACTATCCTTTATAAGTAATGAACCTTGAGTATTGTTTTCAATGGGATTTGAAGGTGTAGGTTGTCCAGCAGATTCATCCAGCATCACATCAATCGCAGAAACAATATTGTCGGAGGGGGAGGGGGTCCACAGGGGCAATTATATCAGACACCAAAACCTGTCATGTGGTAGCTTTCTCTCCAGGTGGAGCAGATATATCCAGAGCAGTGGGGTTAGACCCATCCTTATTCAATTGATCTTTAGATTTCAAATTAGGATGGAGCTTGTAGCATTTATCGAAGATATGCTCAAACATCTTAAAGTGAGAACAGTAAAGAGATCTATGTTGACGATTTGTTGTCAATATCCATTATGAGTTGTACCCAACCAGACTTCAGTAAAATTAGGTAAGGTAATATCTCTTTCCATAAGTATTCTGGCCACAGAATGTCTGATTAGGTTGAAAGTGTATAGATCTAGCTATAGATCTAGCTTCATAGGGCATAGGGTCCCCAATTATGACCCTAATTGAGTAAAAAGTCTGATAATTAAAAGTGTGCAGCTTGAGATCAGGTAAACTAAGCCATACCGGTACAGTAAGAGATTTTGGGTCAAAATCAGGATACAACTTGAGTAACTTCATATATATATATATCAAAAAATCATTCCATGTATATTCTTACTACAATACAAAGCATTAAAAATCATACTCCTATCAAAGTACTATAGAAATATCATGAATCTATGGCTAACACATTTCCATTTAAGGATATCCAACAATTCATGGACGTCTTTTTATTTTTAGCAATCCAGTACACCATATACAACAATCCTTCAATAACAACTTTCTATCTATAAGGATCCAGCAATATGTGGAGAGCATTCCTTTTTCAGAGAGATCTGATGAGAAAAAAAAATCCTTATTTTCTATTTTAATTACACGATTAATTCTAAATTTCATAGGAAATAACTAGATTCTACATATGTTCCTTGTCTAAATAGTTGTTTCTCCACCTTTTTATACAAAGCTTCTCATCTTACATTATAGAACATGTGAATAAATTTTTATTATAAAATTTCACATTTTTACTCTCCTATCTTCTCATTATATTTTCAATATGGTATTAGAATCATTAAGATTCTATTTCTTTTAAGGCCAAAAGGTCCTTCAACAAAATCTTTTCTATAAGTTGACAATCCAACGTTGAAAATCAATCTCAAAATGGAAAAATCATTTACAAAACATAAATAATCCATGACGAAATGCTGGATTGTAGTGGATTGAAAATTCCAAAAAGAGAACCAACAACAAAGATAAATCACAGCAGCTCTCTCCTTCCAATTCACTCATGTAGGCAACAAACAAAAGAAACCTAGGTAGTCTCTCTAAACAAGCTTATTTTGGATATAATCAAAACAAGCTTGGTTATTCAAAAGGATAAATTCTCATTTCCCTCATTGCAACCAAGAAAATATATATATATATATTTGGGCAGTACACTCAAAAAGTGTCACATCATATGACAGTAGACAAAAATATCTTATACAATCATAATCCATGCCATGAACATTAATGGTTGGATTACAAAAGGGTCACTCCAAAAAGTTATCAAAATATGTCTTGACTACATCTTACTATCAATCAGTAAACTCACTCTAGAATTATATTGCTAATTCCTCATCAATTTTTTATCACTTTTTGGACAGCTTAAAAGAATAATTAGTCATTTAAAGATGTGTTCAGGATTTATCTTGAGAATGATCCCTCAGGAAAGGCATGTGTTCATACAACGGATCGTGTATTCCGAACACACTTCAAATAAAGATAGTGATAATTGGCTTTGGCATTCTAGCCTAATACCCAAACACATCATATAAAATTTATTCTTCTCTATTCTACAACAAAAATTTAAAGGACTTAGCGTTAATACATATCCTTTAATAAAAAAAACTTGTCTCATCTTCGTCACTGTGACAGTCCGAACTCTCAACCTCCCAGGAGATCACCCATTCTAGGAGTGTTCCCATGAGAACAAGCTAAATTTTGGAGTTTCTAACAAAATGACACCATTACACAAAAAGGCGACTCGATATTTACAAGTTCAGCTTCATTCTACTTAAGGAGTTTCATAATCTCCTCCATTTAAGTACATGACATCTTTATCGGTGTTCTATACCCAGAATCATTCACTAGGCAGACAAAACTCTAGAGGTGGCCCCTACATATTCAAGGGGTAGCTCCCACCATGTAGCACTTTGTCTCATCCAGTGTTCAAGAGGTGGCTACCATGGCATAACACTTTGCTCTATATGACACTTAGTTCCCATGTTTTGGTTGGTGTATTGCTCTGATTCCATTTATGACAGCTCAAACTCTCACCAATCAAGGTTTGTCTGCTTTGGCGAAATGGCCTCACGATTATTTGCCCAGTTGATGTAACTTCCTAGGAGGTCACCCATTCTAGGAGTACTCCCATGAGAGCACACTTAACTTTCGAGTTTCTAACGAAATTTCACCGTTATACCAAAAAGCGCCTTGATGTTTAAGAGTCCATCTTCATTCCACTTAAAGGGTTTCATAATCACTCTATAACCGTTCATAAAACTAATTAATGTTCAATCATACATATCTCAATAACTTCTATAAAACTTTAGTAAATATTTTTTTCTTAATACTCGTCGCATTAATTAACATCATCATAGAACATTTTCAAACATACTGGCAGGATGTTGTTATGTTTTACTGAATACGGTAAAAATCAAAGCATGCTGTTTAGGGGCATGGAAATGGACAGGATGCATTTAATGTAATATATGGACCAAGTGATGTCAAATAAAAGTACAATGTTTAGCTATCATGATGTACAAATATTTTGAAAAAGCTATTAGCACAATTACTTCTGAAATGTTTCAGTATGAGGAGGCCATGACTCCTTCCAGTTGAGTTCTCGTACAAGAATAGAAGACTCATTTAGTTCGGAAAAGCTTGAACTAAGACGAACATTTTTTGCACAATTGTCGAGAATTTCATTTCCGTAATCTGGAGCATAACAATTGAAAATTTTTAATGGAAGTTTAAATCTATTTCATTTAATGCAATAGTACTTTCAAGAAGCGGTCTTAAAATTTAATGCAAATGTTTTCTATAAAGGGTCCAAAGTTCATTGCAAATTAATGAGAAATAAAAGAACACAACAAACAATATCAAGTAATAAATATCTGAATGCTTAAGTGGAAGTAAACAAAATAATGCATAAAAAGGAAATTTTGCTAAGCCGTAAGGACATAAGTGGAATGGGTTGAGGCATAATTTCCTGTTAATATGATAAAGAAAAGCCTGCAAACCTGTTAGAAAGACTTTCTTAGCAATCCGTGAAAGAACTATGCCTGCCAAACCTGGTTAAAAAAAGAAGGGGCATTTACATATATACCACCCAATTCCTAAGTATTACATATATAACACCTAAATTTTATTAATTACAATTATATCACCCAAATCTTCCAGATCACAAAAAAAACATCACTATTTGAACTTTTAAAAAGGTTGAATACATCTTTTCATGGATAGGTAAGGTGACAGGTAAAAATTGAAGTTTGGGTGTTAGAAATGTAAATACATAAGAATTAAGTGGTATTTATGTAAAAAAGGAAAAAAATAACATAACTCTGTTAAGCTGCAGTCGCAGAATGTACTGGAAGTGTGCAACTGAGAATATTTTACCGAAGTACGGTAATCAAAACAGTTTACTTGCATATCACCTGTTCCAGCACCAAGCTCCAGTGCAGTTGTATCATCAAAGTCAGACGACATGAAGCTTCTGTGCAAAAGAAAATCTGACAATAAGAGTGACGCTGTCCAAACCTGAAGCAAAAAATTAGGTGGAAGGTGTAAAAGAGGATTATACTGGATTAGAGTAAGTTTAACTACTGAATTTTGAGACATTACTTGTAATCCAACATTTGGAAGTGAAGATGTGATACAGTGCCGAATGGTTAATTTGCAGATAGAACCAGAAACTGCAAGCAAATAAAACATCAATCCTATAAGCAAATAAATAAACTAAAAAGAATAAACCCCGCTATTGCAGCCTTCTTTTTATCCCCCATCTGACAAAAAGGTGAATTAATTACATACATGAGAATGTCAAATGTAAATTCTAGCATACTATCCATAAATTCTTTAAAGAAAGATACTTAATTTGATGGGAAATTTACATGCATACCACAGTTCTTATGTATATACATATCTAGCACCAAAATTGTCATAAATCTATGCAGGAAAAGGTGTATTTAACTTTTAAAAAGATAATGATGAAGTTATTTTTGATGTGATGATAAACATTTGAATGGCATGCATGTAAATATGAATGTTTAAGTGTTAAATAGGTAAATGCATGAGAATTGTGTAGTATGTATGTAAATGCCCGTGGCTACAGTTAAACTAGACAACAGAAGAAGCAGTTGCTATATATGATTATTAGCCCAAAAAAA